CTTGAGTACCGCTCCCTGCGGCCCTCACCGTCGGCGAAGTACGCTTGCTCTGCGCCCTTCGCCCCTTGTCCTTTCCCCTGCTCCAGCTTGTCCTTGATCGCCTTGTATTCGACCATTACTTCCTTTAGCACATCGGTCCGCGTCAACTCCTTCGCGTGTCGCAAGTTGTGCTTTGTCATGGCATATTCGTCCGAAAGGGCATCCAGGAAGAGGTGAAGGACGAACGTTTCGTTGACAGTTAGCCCTTTCTCGGTTGAGGACTTTGCGGTTTCGAGCATCTCATGTAGGGCGTTTCGGGGGTTTTCACCTCTAGAGATCTTGGTCGACGTCAGGGACTTGAGGTCCTCTGACGGCTGTACAGATGATTCAGGGTCTTGTATGGTCTTGAGCTCACGAAGAGCTCCCTGGGGCGCCTCTGCCCTCTTCATGATTTTCTGATATTTTTCTTTCAACGCGTTAGACAGGAAGTCCACGCGTGGAATGCGAGCTCTACTTGCTCGCTCCGGTACTGCTGTGACAGCGAAAAGCTTGCTCTTTCCGCTGTTGACGGGGATCTCCAAGCTCCCGCTCTCTTCAAATTGTTCCAACAGGTTTGCGCTATTAGCTGCCATGCGGAAATCATGTAGCCATTCTTTGAAATCTTTCGATTTCCCGCTGAACGGAGGAGAAGTGTACCGCACACTTTGGTACCCCGTCGCTGGGGTTGTGGCTCCGTATCCAAAGCCAACAGCAGCAGCACCATCTCCCATGGCACTACTATAATCTTGGTTGTGAGCAGCGGCTACTCTCACCTCTTGGGGGACAAAGCCCCCTGCTTCGCCGCTGTGTCGCCCTGACGGGCCAGACTCTCGAACAGGTTCGCGCAGGTACCTCCCGTCCTGCACACTCCCGGTCCACGGTGCCCCTCCTTCGGCGTTCGTGGACTCCGCGGCGGCGCTCTCCCAAGCATCGCCACGATCAGCGGCACCCTCCATGGTGCCAGCTGGCTCCTCCTCCTTGCTTGCCTTCATGGTATCTTCCACTAGCGACATTAGCTGGCTCATCTGATCCGTGAGCGAGCTATCTTGCGTCCGCAGGGCCACGAGCTCTTCTCTTGACCTCTTTCTGTTATCCGCCGCAGAGTCGCTGGAGGGGTCACCCCCATCTTTGCGACCTGACATTCCTAATGGACTCCCCCTCGAGGGACTGACACTAGTGTGTCCGTATATGTCCTTTACTTGGAAGGGGAAGACGTTTTATTTCTTGTACTAGACACACAAGGGGAGTAGGGAGAAGTGAAGCCCTCTTTGGAGTTCGAGGGGTCCCCGCACATGCAACCATTTCAAGGTGTACATATGCCCCATCTGCGTGCCCTCTGTTGTTGCCGGTAGGTCTAACCAGTCCGCATCCAAACACACGAACAGGAATCGCAAAAGACCTGTTGCTGAGCGGAGCCAATCCTTCTAAGGCTGGATTCGAAGGCTGGTTCCCGATCCACTTTGCTGCTCACCACGGCCTGGATGAGGTGGTGGTTTCGTTGTTCCACAAGGGAATTGACCCGACTTGCGTTACCACCCGAGAAGAGACTCATCTCCTTCTGGCGGTGAAAAGGAATCATGTGGCCATCATCAATGCGCTCTTGGCTGAAGGCGCCGATGTCAACTTCCTTACGACGAGACGGCCTGTACCATTGGCGCACATTGCAGCTTTGCACAACAATGCGGCCGCCATGCCAGCGCTCTTCAAAGCCGGAGTCTATATCGAAGGTCGGAGTCCAAAAGGACGAACCCCACTCCAAAACGCAGCATTTTGCGGCTCGTGTGAAGCCATGCTGGCTCTATTGCAACTGGGAGCCAACGTCAACTCGAAGAACACCATCAATGGACTCTCCCCGTTGTGCAGTGCGTGTCGAGAAGGCCATCACGACGCCGCCGACCTGCTATTGAGATGGGGTGCGGACGAGACCGCCGTGGACTCAGACGAAAAGACCATCGTCTCCATGATGACACACCGCATCTTTCGAGCTGCCGTTGCAAGTCGCCAACGCCTCGAGCGTGTTTCCGAGCTACTGGCACGTGCTCCGCAGGACAGGGCCTGGCGTCGCCGGGGCTTCCTTGTCCCTTGCCTTTCCCACCCGGACAGGGTGCAGCTGGCAGTGGAGATCCCTGAAGCAGCAACTGAGGCCATCGAGCAGACGCAGGAACGTCCGAGGCGCCATGCTAGGACGGGGCAGGTTGAAGTCAAGGTGGAGATGGATGGAACAAATGGCGGCGGGGGTGGAGCAGGCGCGAAGAGTGGGGCGCGCGAAGGGACTGAATCTATGCGCGAAGGCACGGATGGTGGGTTCAATGGTTTGTCGGCCTGGATGATAGCACTGACAGAGGAGCACCTGTTCCGCAAGATCATGGGCTTCCTGTAGTGCAGTGAAGGTCAGTCACGCGGTTTGTTCTTAGAGGTGGTTGTTGTTTTTCTTTCATCTCCGGCTCAGCTTCCTTCTTACAAGATGTACTTTTTCCACACCCATAACTCCCCGTAGCCATTGTCCGGGCTCCTCATGTATCCCCTATCTAGACACCAGCCGGATCACCCTCGAGCACCTATAGCTTCATTTTCAACCGCCATCCCCTTCCACAAACGGAGAAACGCCCCCTCGCGCTTGATGTGCTCTGTGTTTCTGCGAGAGTATCGAATTCCTTTTCGTTTCACCCGAATGGTGACAGCATGATGAGCGGAGTAGCAAAGGTAGCCTTCGATATTCCGTAGTTTGTCCACCACACCCCCCACTTTAACCCTTTTGTGACTACACCCCTCCTGAGTGTCGATAAGAGTGTTGTTA